ATCTTTCAGGAAATTTCCTACTAATTTGCTTTATGACTGTTAAGAGTAATAATTATACAAATCAATATCTCTTTATTTTTTCATTTATACTTTTTTAATAAATAATATTATTTTTTTACTTTTAATCTATTACTTTGCTTTATGACTGTTAGAGTAAAGGGTTTCTCTTGCAAATTGCTTTAATTTATGGTTAGGAATTATTTATGGAGACTATTATGAAAGTGTTATCTTTTACGAAGTTTCTTTCATCAATAATTTCAACATTGCCTTTATCAATACACTATACTATTTCAAAAATAAATTAAAGAAAATAATCAAGCAATTTCTTTGAATTAATTATTTTTAAACACTTACGACATCTATAATTAGTCATAAAATAAGTTGATTAGATTTATTATTAATAAATATCTTAATTACTCACATAAATTAACGGAATATTTTTAATTTATTTATCATTCGATTTACAACTGTATGCGTTGCCTCTTATAGAAGAACCTTTTATTGTTGAAGTGGCCATCAATTCAAACACCAATGAGGTGGGGGACTTTGCCCGAAACCTTGTTGGAGGGGCAGATTCAGAGCTCAAAGAACTGAAGAAAAAGTTGTTGGTGGTTGAAAACCTTCTTCGCAATGCAGAAGACAAGCAGCTGGTAGATGGGGACGTAACATATTCCCTTTCTAAATGATCTCCACTAAATGATCTGCAAAGCTAAAAATATAGTCAGATGTATTGTAACTAGGGGTGTTCGGTTCTGGGTACCCTACACTTTTTGAAGGAACCGAAACCGGAATCGGAACTAACGGTTCCTTGAAATTTGGAACCAGAACCGGAACCAACGGTTCCGGTTCCTAGGTATCCAGAACCAGAACCTGTAACAACAGTTTCAGTTCTGATTCTGGGTACCCTGTAAAATTATCATGACCCCCCAAAAGTTTTTAAAAGGGCAAAAAAATCCTTAAGAACTTACAAATACCCCCCTACCTGGCACTTGTTAATAAAAATAAAATTACAAATTATAAATTCAAAATTACAAACTCCATTACTTTGTAATGGTAGATTCTCAAAAGTCAAACCAACTTACTTTAAATGTTATGAAATATAAATATAAATGTATTTACATAACTTTTTTTACAAAAGTTTTTATTTACCCCCTAATATTTAATTTTATTTTATATTAGTTTCGGTTCCTGGTTCTGGTTTCGGTTTCTAACTATAGGAATCGGAATTGGAACCGGAACCGTATAGTAACGGTTCCAAAAATTTGGAACCGAAACCTATCCATTGACGATTGGTTCTGGGTAAGAACCGGAATCAAACCCAGAGTATCCACCAGTTCCGGTTCCAACCGGTTCTTTTGAACACCTCTAATTGTAACATCAAGGTGGGGTCTACAAGGTTGAAAAAAGAGTCCATTATTACAGGTTCACGTGGTTCATTTCACACTACAACTCAAACATCACCGCGGAATTACATGAGGAGAGGAATCCAGGTCAGGATTTCAAAAAAATCAAGACTATATATAAAAATTACAGTCTTCTGGCCGGCAGTGTCAGTATGTCCTTTGGAGCATTATCTATAGGCTGGTGGAGTCCTGGCCACACAATCTGTCCTCTTAGTAAGAAATTAATGAAACTCTTATTTGAAATTATCAAAATGTATTATTCTCAGATACCCTCCAAAGTACTAAATTTTATGTTATTGATTATCGTATTTTCTTATGTTATTAATCATCATAATGTGATCCATAAATATAGTACTATTTTATTATCATATTATCTATAAAGTTTAGAATTATTTGTTTTTGAGTAGTATTATATATATAATAAACTAATTATATAAATTAATATGACTTTATTTTTTCATTGACCCATCTTCCATTTAAATAATATTATTTTTCACTTGTAATCTATTATCCACTTCTTTTTCTCGTTTAATTGTCAAAAAACTTAGAATTATTGAACTGCGTGGTCCACACAGCTGTCTTCCATTAGAACATAGTGACTTCAGCAAAATTAGCAACAATTTTTGATATTATATATATTGCTTTTTTGTTTTTTTAATTAATTAAGGTTCTAATTATACTAAATTAGTTGTTGAACTTGAATTCTCATGATTAACTTGACCAAGACTTGCAAATTAGTTTCCAAAATTTATTTTCCTTTTGCATTAAAGCTTATTTGCTACTAAATTTTGTTAACAAATAGAAGGTCATTTTATTCTAAAATCAATCATGTTACTTACGGTTTCAAAAAAAAGTTAATAGTTGGCTTTGAAGTACCAGTTAATAGTGACATATATGTATTGTGGAGTCCACACATCTCTTTTATTGAAAACATAAAAGGGGGAACGACTTATACATACCTAATGTTTGTCGAAACGACAAGTTGATACCCAAAAGGTTTTGAAATGACAAATGGATACCTTCCGTCATGTTCTGTTAGTGATTTTGGTTAGATAATAGTGAAAAGACTAAAATACCCTTGAAAGTTTAATTTTTAGTTTTTTATAAATTTAAAAATTTCTAAAAAACCCCCTAAGTTTGCTAATTTGATTAAACACCCCAATATATAAAACTTTTATAAAATAACAAAAACACCCCCGTCACCCCCGCAGTGCCAGATTCCGGCCACTACCGCCGGAATCTGGCCGGAAAATTGCGTTACGACACAGACCCATCAGATCTGTGTCGTAACGCGTAGATCTTTCATTTTCCGGCAAGATCCGTGGCTGATCTGGCCGGAAAAGACCAGATCTACGGCCAGATCTGGCCGTCAAGACCGGAAACTTGTCGGAAAATTGTGTTACGACACAGACCCATCGGATCTGTGTCGTAACACGTCGATCTCGCGTTTTCCGGCCAGATCCGTGGATGATCTGGCCGGAAAAGGCCAGATCTGGCCGTCGAGGCCGAAAAAGGCCAGACATAGATCTGGCCTTTTCCGGCCAGATCCGAGGCGGATCTGGCCGGAAAAGGCCAGATCGGTGTGTTACGACACAGATCCGATGGGTCTGTGTCGTAACACAATTTTCCGGCCAGATTCCGGCGGTGGTGGTCGGAATCCGGCACTGCAAGGGTGGCGGGGGTGTTTTTGTTATTTTATAAAACTTTTATATATTGAGGTGTTTAGTCAAATTAGCAAACCTAGGGGGTTTTTTAGAAATTTTTAAATTTATAAAAAACTAAAAATTAAACTTTCAAGGGTATTTTAGTCTTTTCACTATTATCTAATCAAAATCACTAACAGAACATGACAGAAGATATCCATTTGTCATTTCAAAACCTTTTGGATATCAACTTATCGTTTCGACAAATATTAGGTATGTATAAGTCGTTCTCCCAAACATAATACCCAAAGTATTCACTTCAATTCATTAATCATTCTGTCCCATCCTTTAATTTCTAGCTTTATCTGCTTTTAATGTACCGTCCACTTCTTTTTCCCGTTTCTCAAAAAAGTTTTGAATTATTAATCACCTACTTCTCGATAAACAATAAACAATACAGGTCAATAAACAATTATTTAATAATATATGCAATTGTCGATTTGTGACAAAAATGTATACAATATAACATTTGTTAAAGAATCATTTACTAGCGTATAAGTTAAATTTCATTGTAATTATTTTATTTATTTATTTGTCAATGAATCGCTCTTTCAATCAGTTGTAAATAAAAATATTTGGGTGAGACATGAGATTAAATTAATTCAAACTATTTTATGATTATAATGTTTTGAGGGGTGGACAGTTATTTCGATGAACCCTTCTCAAATTCGCTTTTAAAATAGTTATTATTAATTCATGAAAATTATAAATAAAGGCTTTAAAAAAAATTAAATGATCCCAAGAGGAAGTTTATTATATATTTCATCTAATCAATTCTTTATGAACAGTTTGAAAATAAATAAATACAATTTATATAATTTTGGAAACTAAAAGATTCTTGGAATTTAGTTTTTGAAATTTTGAGTGGGATTGGACATATGTCGCTATTTATTTATAAATTTCCAATAAATATTCATTTTACAAGTCCATAATAAGTCATCATGTAAATTTCCAAATCTACTTTAATTAAACTTAATCAATGCAAGACTTCATATATAGAAGAAAGAAGAAATATTTGATCCACTGATTAAAGTTGCAAGCATTCTTGATATTATATTATTTTAGTTAATTAATTAATTAAGGTTATGTCACTTCATCCTCTTTACTTAATGCATATTAATATGATACCATATGAGTAGTTAAGCGAATGTTTCCTTTCAAGCTAATAATAATGTAGTGGACCTTATTTTAATGGTGCCCACACTAAAAACTAGAATATTAAGATGTTTATAGTCCTCCATACAATAATTTTTAATTTTAAGAAATCATATATAAGCTTTCAAAGTGTCAGTATTATTAATCTCATAATCATATTTACTTTCAACAATTAAATTCTTTTAATTTGAAATATTATTTTGTAAAATGTTAAACCAATATTGTTGTGTGTGATTTTTTCATCAAACTTGAAGTATTACGAGATTATAATCCAATCTAGGACCAATTCAAACTCTATTAATTATCTGACCCAACAAAATGTTAAACCAACAATGGATTGACTGATTAGTAAAGGCTTGAGGCCAAGAGTTAGGTTCGAATCACAATTGTTGATTATCTTTGGTCACATTCATTCACCAATCAAATTGGACAAACTTCAGGTTATGATTACTTGACCAAGACTTGCAAATTAGAGTCCACTTCCAATGAGAACACCATCACTCACACTTAATTAATTTTGCAAATATTCTTGATATTATACTGCTTTAATTAATTAAATATTATGATTACGAATTATAGTCTTTATTAAATATTCTAGTGGTACCCGCACCAAATATTTGTATTTTGAGTTCAGTTTTGAGCACTCTTAATAGAAAATTAACCAGTTTCTCTTGCTTTCTCTCATCGTTCTCTTCTTGTTACAATCTTCAATCTTTTCATTCTTTCAACAACCGAAACCATGGAATTTGTTGTTGAGCCCGTGGTCTCTGAACTCTTTAAGGGGTTGTTTAAGATATTGGAGTCCAAGGAGGTGCAGGACTTTGCCCGGAACCTTGTTGGAGTAGATTCAGAGCTCAAAGAGCTGGGGGAAAAGGTGCAGATGGTTGAAAACCTTCTTGGCAATGCAGAAGACAAGCAACTGACTGATAAAAGGGTTAAAGAGTGGCTTGACAATCTTCAAGACTGGGCTTTTGATGCGGAGGACTTGCTGGATGAGTTTGCCTACCATGCTTCGCGACGCAAACTGAAGGCAGAACACCAGGCTAGCTCTAGCAAGGTTATGAGCTGCCTCCGTGCTTCTTTCCCTAGTCCCTTTCACATGGGGTCCAAGATCAAAGACATCACTTGCCGCTTGGAGCAACTGCAGCAGAAAAGATCAGCTGAACATGAAATGCAAGTAGTTTCTGGAGGGACATCAAGTAACGTCGCTGCACCGCAAAGACCAGAGGAAACTTCAAGCGTCCCACCTGAACAGGTTGTTCATGGCAGAGTTGAAGATGAAGCCAAACTACTTGACAGGGTGAAAAGCGCTCAACCAAGTGGTGCCAACTTTCGAGTGATAGCCATCGTCGGCATGGGAGGGATCGGTAAAACAACGATTGCTCGGAAAATATACAATCACATGCAGGTGCTGGAAGATTTTAAGTTTGATAAAAAGGCATGGGTCTGTGTTTCAAACAACTTTGATGTTCTGACAATTTCAAAGGCAATTCTTGAGTCCATAGACTCCTCACCCTCTATTCCAAATCATTTAAATGAAGTGCAACTTAAATTGCGGGACACAGTAAATCAGAAAAAATTCTTACTGGTCTTAGATGATGTCTGGAGTGACGACTATGGACAATGGGAAATCCTCAAGGCTCCCTTCAAGGCTGGTGCACCCGGAAGCACCATGATCATCACAACACGCCTTGAAAATGTTGCATCTGCAGCAAGATCCTTTGTTACTTATCCTTTAAAGCCAATATCTGATGATCATTGTTGGCAATTGTTTCAAGAACATGCATTCGGTGATGGTTCCATGGCCGAGGCTCATGAAATTCACCATTCGATTCGTGAGGGACTTATTCAAAGATGCAGAGGCCTACCTCTAGCAGCAAAGACTCTCGGTGGTCTTCTCCATTCTAAACCGTGGGATTCTTGGGAAAAAATATTAAACAGCAATATATGGAGTACATCTGATAAAAGTGATCAAATTCTCCCAGCACTAAGGCTAAGTTATCATTATCTTCCTTCGAATCTAAAAAGATGTTTCGCCTACTGTGCAGTTTTTCCTAAAGATTACGAATTCAAGGAGAATGAACTTGTACTTTTGTGGATGGCAGAAGGTATAGTTCAATCATCTGATAAGCAATTCGATAAGGCTGGTGAGTATTTTCGCGGTTTATGTTCAAGATCACTTTTACAAAAATCAAGTAGCCATAGTTCCAATTATGTAATGCATGATCTTATCCATGATTTAGCTGAATCTGTTTTTAAAGAATTCAGTTTTAGATCTGAGAAAGCCATTATCGAGCTACCGCAAAATATTAAAAGAATGCGTCATTTTTCTTATATTTCTGATCGATTTAATGGTGAAAAGAAATTTATAGGCTTGGAAAAGCTTAAGAGTTTAAGAACATTCTTGCCGGTATTCATGAGACCTCATCACTTTTTTGATAACCATTTTATAAGTGCTATGGTTATTTTTTATTTGTTACCGAAGTTAAAAAAGTTGAGAGTATTATCTTTAGAAAAATCCACCATCACTTATTTACCTGATTCAATTGGAGGTTTGATGCATCTACGGTATCTCAACTTTTCTTATACTATGATCAAAAGTTTGCCTGAGTCAACAAGCCAATTACTTAATTTGCAAACTTTATTATTAAAAGGTTGTTCTCGTCTTGTGAATTTACCTTTCAACATGAGATATTTGATCAATTTATATCATCTTGATATAAGTGGTCACAATTCATTGAAAGAGATGCCGTCAAGAATGAAAGAGTTGAAAAATCTCCGAGTATTGTCTAACTTTATTGTAGGGAAGGAATCGAGCTTGAATTTGGAAGATTTGAAGAGTTTAAGTTCTCTTCAAGGATAGCTTTGCATTTCCAAATTAGGGAATGTGACGGATCCAATGCAAATAGGGGGGCAAATACTAACCAATAAGACCAATCTAAAAGTCTTGTTGCTAGAATGGGAAGAGCAACTGTTTGAGGACTCACGGACAGAGGATATAGAAATGCATGTAATTGACAAGCTAAAACCTCCAAGCAGTTTAACAAAACTCACAATCAAGCGCTATGGTGGTCAAAGTTTCCCGTCTTGGTTCAAAGATCCAGCATCAGTCTCTAATTTGGTGGTCCTAAAATTAGAAAACTGTGCAAAATGCCAATCCTTGCCTTCACTTGAAATGTTGAGCTCACTTAAAGACTTAACCATCGAAGGAATGGCAAGTCTAAAAAGAATAGATTTCCAAACGCCTTTGAAGTCATTAGAGGTTCTTCGTTTTAAGAATTTGCGAGAATGGGAACATTGGGACACTTGGAGAGGAAAAGAAGATGTTGAAAGATTAGCTCAGCTCCGTGAACTTTGCATTGAAGAATGTCCCAAACTTACTGGAGAATTTCTTGATCATCTTCCTTCATTGGAAAGATTTGTTATTCAGGAATGTTCAAAGTTGGTGGTATCAGTCTCAAGTTTGCCAGAAGAATGCGAAGTAGGTATTGATTATGATTGTAAGGGAGTGGTGTGCAATGGCAGTTCAATTAATTTTGAAAGGCTGAAATATTCTCCAGGGACTTCAAATATTTCAGAGGTTGAAAGTAAATTAAAGCAAGGATCCCAAAGAGTAGAAACTTTAGCAATTAACGGCAGTGATGAGATCTTGGATTCATGGCAAAATTTGCCTAATATTGAGAGGTCATCAACACTGGGAGGTATGCATGGTCTCACCTTCCTTAAAAAGTTAGAATTATGGAATTGTAAAAATGATTTTGTTTTCTTTGAAAACACCAATTTTCTTCCCAATCTAAGTGATCTTTGGTTGCACGAATGCCAAACTCTAGTATCCTTACCTATAGGATTGAAGCTAAAGAACCTGAAAACATTGATTATTTGGGAATGTAATTCTCTAAGATCCATTGATTGTAGCATGCTACCTTCATCTCTAAAAGCGCTTCGGATATATAATTGTGAGAAACTAGAAATTTTGATGGATTTAAGTACTTCCTTTCTCGAGGAATTAAGAATTGATGGGTGCCATTCTCTCACGTGCACATCACCACGTCAGTTGCCTGATACACTCCAAGAGATATATATTTTTTACTGCTATGAGCTCAAAACGTTATCAAGATGTCAGTATTTACCTAAGGCTCTTACATTCCTCTTCATTAAATGGTGTGGAGAGCTAAAGTCAATCGATGGGTCCTTTGAAGGAAGCACGTGTCTTAAGAGTGTTAATTTAGTTGATTGTGAAAATCTTGAATCCATACCTCTAGGTCTACAAAATCTTTCTTGTGTCGACTCTCTTATGATAGAAGGATGTCCTAAATTGTTGGTTAGAGAAGGTGTTCCCACAAGCTTAATTAGACTCAAATTAGGTGGAGATGCAACATCCATTTTACAAGAGGACAAGGGAATGCTCACCTCTCTTACAGCATTGAGCATAAGGGAATGTCCGAGGATTGAATCAATTCCAAATCTCAGCAGCCTCACCTCTCTTACAGAATTCGTCATTTGGAATTGCCCAAGGATCGAATCAATTCCAAATCTCAGCAGCCTCACCTCTCTTGCAGAATTCGTCATTCAGAATTGCCCAACGATCGAATCAATTCCAAATCTCACCAACCTCACCTCTCTTAGAAGATTGGCCATTCAGGATTGCTCAAAGCTCAAATCCATTCCCCTAGGCAACCTTGAACAATTGGAAATTAGGGGATGCCCAAAACTCAAATCCTTGCAAAGTCTGCCATCCTCACTTCTGTCTTTACAGGTTGAAGATTGTCCATTGCTAACAAAACAGTGGAGCAAGGGTAAAAAAAGATATTGCTCAAAGATTGCTCACATTCCCAAGGTTCGTATAGATAGCAAATTGATCTTCAATTCAAAGGAGGAATAAAGCGATGAATCATCTGATTAACCAAGGTTTGTCATTTTCTTAATTACAACTCTACTATTATCTAGATTCTTATCTAATAGAGAATTTTTTGAGCTTCTGCCTTAATTTTTCAGTGATCGAAGTCATTATCTCATTTGAACTTGCTAGATGATCATCAACAAGAATCTACCAGTGGAGGTTTGTGCAGGTAATTTTAAAATTTTTCTTATAATATTTGTTAGTCAACTTGAACATAATACCTTGTATCTGACATTCAAATCCAAATTTACTAATTTCATAAATTATTGTCACAAATATTTATGATTAAATTTTTATTTTTTTCAGTAAATTGATTGTTATCTTGTACTCTGTACCATTCTGCATTTGGGCACTCTTTGTGTGTGAAACGTAACTGAAAAGAAAAACTTTGAACTTGAACAAATCCTAATTTCTGGAATTCTTAATACAAGTAAATTATTCATGTTCTTGTTTCGTTTTTTCAATTTTGGTCTGTCAATTCTAACAGCTGAACCATTCTACGATTATTAATTCTACTTTTTGTTGTTTTGATAACAAAATACTTGAAATTGAAAGTAGTTCCTCTGTTCCAAAACTTCACTACTTTGTCATTTGATAGATTTTCTCAACTCCTGTGGTTCAAAGGTAACAAAAAGTAGCAATATGTGCAATTTTGATAAAAACATCTGCTAAAGATCTTGCTACTATGTTTTCTAGATGTGGGTTCTACTATTGGCATGAATTTTTTCCTTCGATTCATTTTTTTTTCAGGTGCCACATCTCCAACTTCATTTAAGCAATTGTTAGAACCTAACTCTTGGCATGTCTAATTTTCTAGATCTAATGTTAATAACGGCATGTCTACTTGCACTTTTAAACCTAACTCCTGGCTTCAGGTTTGGAGCTTTGGATTCCTTGTTGAAACTACAATACATAATTTCGACTTCTAGCTGTTTCAACTGTTAATCAAGGTGCACAGTTTTTGTTTTGGGCAAAGAGATGTTGTGAAAGCATTAGGATTTTTTATAGCTTATTTAAGAAACCATTATTACTTTCTCTATGCAAACAACACTATGGCAGATCGTACACTTAGATTAACAATGCAGAAGTCATTTGGAGGGCTTAAAATTTTCCTTCTCCAACTTCTTGTAAGTATATTTGACAACATTTGTATATATCTAAACTCTTAAAAAGTGATGATCTCAAATCATTTTCTTTTGCCTATCTAATTACACATTTTGGACCTCACTCTTGGATTTGCATATGGGTCCACCAAATGATGAGAAAAAACAGAGTATGGACCTCAATATATCCTGCTTAAGCAGAACAACTAGTCAACGTTCATCGAGGCAACCCGTGGAGATATTCTTTTTCGGTCCTCTTATTTTTTCCACCATCATTGCCCTTTTATTCCAGGAGAGCATGTCTTCTTACTTTGTATTTGTTAATATTCAAGGTGAGTCCTAAGAATGTCGAGATGAAATCAATGCAACTTCAATGGAGTCACGTGTCACCTCGGATGAAAGACTTGAATAAAATGTCTAGCTTATGTCATTTCTACATTGGCTTATGATCAATCAGTTTCTATGGTGGTAAGAATTTTCCAACTTGGATAAGAAGTTCTTGTACATTTTGAGATCTTTAAAACATGACAAGCTCGTGTCTTTTCTGCAGGATAAGAGAGTAAAAATCTCTAGTATCTCATTTATTCAACTTTGGAGATCAGGAGGTGTTCTGCTTATATATCTTTGCTAGAGAAGGCTTGCTGGATCTGATAAGTTCAAGTCCTTACCAAATCAACTAAACGGTCTCACATCTCTTAAGTAATTTCTTATTAGAAACGCTTTAAAAATTTGTTATTTGTTGATGGTTTGCCTAGTTGCAACACAAATATTGATATTTGACCCTTGTTAATCAACTTGTAGAAAGGAAAAAAAAGAGAAGGCAGGGCAAGAAATCTCTTAAAGCAAATGGATGAGATTTAAAAACATTACATCACTTCGGAAATTTGTAAGTTGTAATTGTACTTTTGTATCAATTGTTTCACGTATTTTTACAGTTGTGTCAATTTCTTTTTTTTTTTTTTTTTTCAGGTGATCTGGCTGCAAGGTTGGAAAATTAAGTTCACTAACACCAACATGGCTAGAGATTTGGAGAAAACCTGAAGAGGGTTAAAGCCACAAACCACTAGATCATTGCTTCACAAACTTGGGCCTCATCGTGGTGCCATGGCACCATGAACTTATTGAGATGATAAGAGGAATGTGAAACCTGAAGAATTGCCGTGGCAGGGCAGCAATATAAGCAAAGGAATTGAGACAGTTTCTTCATCTAAAGCATATTAATGTTTTCACCACCACTAGCTTCTTCAATTATACGGGTGAAGAGTGAGTGTTGTGAATCGTGAGGACTTCGCTTTTTGGCATTTGTGTGTATAAAAGCGGGAGAGTGTTAAAGAAAGTGAGAGATGGGTGTACGAGGGTTTTGGGTTCGGGTTTGGGTTTGGGTTTAACATGAGTGTATTAGATTTGTATTATATTCTTCAATTCAGTCATTTGATTTATATCCCATGGATGTAAACATAATTTTTCCAAATCACGTAAATTTGGTGTTCTTATGTGTGTGATTGTCTTATTGGCCTCTTTATTTTTCATATCTCTTATTCAAATCCTATTTTCTAAACAGAGTATGAAAGTCATTTGAGCTATGGTAAAGTCAATGCAATTTTTTATGCAACATGTGTTAATCAAGCTGCTTTCATCAAGGTTGAAGTTGGACATTTTGTGATAATTATATTATAGGAAAGAACAGAGACCATTAAAAACAAAGCAAAGCATAAAAGGAGAATATGCAATCATTCGAGCTCATAATTTTTCTGCCAACTAGTAATAACACTAAAATTATGCTAATATCATTAATTTAAGAATAATACTACACTCACAACTATTCAAAAACGTTCATCGAGTGTACTTTCAGAAGTAGAGTATGGCATTTTGATAGCAGAATACTTGCAAATTGAAAGTGGTTTTTCTGTTCCAAAACTTCACTACTTTGTCATCTCATAGATTTTCTCAACTCTTGTGGTTCAAAGGTTATCAAAAGTAAGCAATATCTGCAATTTTTGATAAAACATATGCTAAATATCCTTGCTACTATGTTTTCCAGATTTGGGTTCTACAATTGCATTGGCATGAAGTTTTTCCTTCAGATTCATTTTTCTTCAAGTGTCGTTGTCTCCATGTTCACGTAAGCAACTGTTAGAACCTAACTTCTGGCATGTCTAATTTTTCCATATCTAAACTTTAATAACTGGTATGTCTACTTGCACTTTTAGAACCTAACTCCTGGCTTTAGGTTTGGAGCTGTGGATTCCTTGCTAAAATTACAATACAGAGTTTGGAGCTTCTAGCTGTTGCAAATGTTAATCAAGGTGCATTTTTCTGCTTCTATGTATAATTTCTTTATTGTTGTCTCCTTGTTTTTGTTTTGTGCAAAGAGATGTTATGAAATCCATCAAAAATTTTTTATAGCTTATTTAAGGAATGATTATTTACTCTCTATGGAAACAATACTATACAGGATCCCTACACTTAGATTAACATTGTAGGATTCATTGGACGGCTTAAAATTTTCCTCTCCAACTTCATGTAAGTATATTTCACACTGTTTTTATATATCTAAACTCTTAACAAATGATGATCCCTAATCATTTTCTTTCGCCTATCTAATTGCACATATTGTACCTTACTCTTGGATTTGCATATGGAGTCCACCAAATGATGGGAGAAAACCAAGTAATGGACCTCTATATATCTTGCTAAAGCAGAACAACTAGTCAATGTTCATGTAATGCAAGCACGTGAGATATTTTTTTCTCAATCCTTTTATGTAGTCTCATTTTTACATTTTCCCAACATCATTGCCCTTTTATTCCAAGAAAGCATGTCTTCTTATTTTGTATTCGTTAATATTCAAGGTGATTCCTAAGAATGTCAAGATGAAATCAACACAACTTCAAGGGAGTGATATGTCACCTTGGATGGAAGACTTGAATAAAATGTCTAGCTTATGTCATTTCTATCGTAGCTTATGTGATCAATCAGTTTCTGGTGGTATGACATTTCCAACTTGGATAAGAAATTATTGTACATTTTGAGATCTTCGAAATAATGACGACAAGTTCATGTCTATTCTGCAGGGTCAGAGAATAAAAATCTCTATAATCTCATCTCATGAACTTTGGGGATTAGAAGGTGTTCAACTTATATATTTTGCCAAAGAAGTCTTGTTGGATCTGATAACTTCAAGTCCTTACCAAACCAACTAAATGGTCTCACATTCCTTAAGTAATTTCTCAATCGAAATGCTCTCAAAGTTGCGTTATTTGTTGTTGGTTTGCCTAGTTGCAACACAAATATTGATATTTTTCCCTTGTTAATCAATAGTTCATAGAAAGAAAGGAAAAGGGAAGACAGGGCTAGAAATCTCCTGAAGCAAATGGATGAGATTGAAAAACATTAAATTACTTCAGAAATTTATAAGTTGTAATTGTACTCTTTTATCAATTGTTTCAAGTATTTTTACAGTTGTGTCAATTTCATAATTCATTTTTCTTTGTTTTGCAGGTGATCTAGCACCATGAACTTATAGTGATGATAAGAGGAATGTGAAGCCTGAAAAATTGCAATGGCAGGGCATCAGTGTAGGCAAAGGAATTGAGATAGTTTCTTCATCCAAAAGCAAATTAATGTTTTCACCATCGCCAGCTTCTTCGATTATATATTGGCTGGTCCGTGATGTTGTTACAACATTGTATAGGTAAAGAGTGAGAATTGTGAGTTGGGAGGACTTCATTTTTTGGATTTGTGTGCATAAAGTGGGAGAGTGTTAAAGAAAGTGAGAGATGGGTGTATGAGGGTTTGGGTTCAGGTTCTGGGTTTGGGTTCAACATGAGTGTATTAGATTTGTACTATTATTCTTCAATTCAGTCATTTGACTTATATCTTGTGGATGTAAGCATGATTTTGCCAAACCACGTAAATTTGATGTTCTTATGTGTGTGATTGTCTTATTGCCACTACTTTCTAAACAGAGTATGCAGTCATCGGGGCTATGATAAAGTCATTACAATTTTTTTATGCAGCATGTATTAGTCAAGCTGATTTCATCAAAGTTGAAGCTAGACATTTTGATATAATTATATTATAGGAAGGAAGAGAGATCATTAAAAACAGAGAGAAACATAAGAAGAGATTTGGCCTTTTTAGATCATCTACTCCGTGAATATGATGCTTAATGTCTTATATTTGAGCACAGATTTACAGTTTGTTTCCTAACTTTCTGGGTACTCTGTGTGTGAATATTTGATTGTTTTTGCTGGGGTCCCATCAATTTGGTATCAGAGCCAGTGTTTGGGTAATGGTAAAAGCAAAAATGGAGAAAGAGTTAACAGAATTGAGAAGGAGATGGGTAACATGAAAGAAGAAATGGGTAGCATTAAGGGGTACCTTCTTGAGCTACGGGAATGGACGAAGAGTAGAGATGAGAAGGACGAAAGTAAGAATACGGGAAAAGAAGGAGACGAGACACCGGAAAGATCCAATAACCTTGATCAATTGAAGGGAATCAAAAATATCAAAGAGGACCGTAAAGGGAAAAAACTGGAACTACCTGTGTTCAATGGCGAAGATCCTCCAGGATGGACTTTTAGAGCCGAAAGATATTTCCAGATGAACCAATTCCAGGAAGCGGAGAAGGTGGATGCAGCGGCTGTTTGTATGGAAGGACGCGCGTTGAACTAGTATTAGTGGGTTGATACCCGAGCACCGATACTCTCGTGGAGCTCGTTCAAGACAGCGCTAGTAGAACGCTTCAGACCTTCACACCAGGGAACAACCTACAAGGCTTTGGTAGCTCTAAAACAAACAGGGACTGTGACTGAGTTTAGGGAACAATTTGAGGCATTGTCAGCTCCTTTGCGTGAGGTAGGAGAAGACCTCCTCATAGGTATTTTTTCAAATGGGTTGAAGGAGGAATTGCGGGCTGATTTGAGATTGTGCAGGCCCAAAACATTAATGGAATTAATTGAGCAGGCCCATTGCATTGAAGAGAGAAATTGGGTCTTAGAAAAGACCCGACCCAAAATTAATAGAACTTACCCATACCAAACGCATAACCAGACCAACCAGACCCAAAAATCAGACTTCTACCACCGAGTTTCGTCAAATCCAGATCTAAGTCATAACCACAAAAATGGGTGGAACACCACGACGAAAAATGCAAAAACCTTACAGGGGGTGAGAGTGCAAAATCGAAGCTGGGAAAGGGGGGGGGGGGGGGGGGGGGGGGGGGGGGGCGGGGCGCAGGGGAACCCATGGAAGGAGGACCCACGCAGTTCAGAAGTGATGGATTTCGTCGACTAACGGAGGCCGACATCTAGTATAAACGTGAGAGAGGATTATGTTTTCGCTGTGATGAGAAGTTTGGCCTTAACCATCGGTGTAAAAATAAGTCTCTACAGCTTTTGTTATTGTGGGAAGAAGAAGAAGAAGAAGATCTAGAGAAAGAAGAGATAACGCAGGAGATTGACGATGAACCCACCTCAGAAGGTAATCCACTGGCTCTGTCTATAAACTCCATCGTGGGGATGACCTCAGACAAGACTCTTAAGCTCAGAGGCTTATTGGGAACAGAGGAGGTAATTGTGCTTGTTGATAGTAGGGCTTCCCACAATTTTATTTCACATGATTTGGTACACAGGTTGGGTTTGAGTGTGGAGAAGGGGAAGGCTTTCGGAGTCATGGTGGGAAACGGTTTCACGATTAGGGGAGAGGGAATTTGCAGAAAAATTGCGATGAAGATACAGGGGATAGAGATATAACAAGATTTTTTTCCTTTTGAATTAGATGGAGCTGATGTCGTATTAGGGGTTGCGTGGCTGAGCACTCTTGGAGGCATGTGTGCTAACTGGAAAAACCTGACTATGGCATTCGTCTGAGAAGGAAGGAAGGTCACATTAAGGGGAGATCCTTCTTTAGTAAAAACCGGTGTATCACTCAAAGCCATGCTGAAATTTGTATAAAACACAGGAGCTGGATATGTAGTTGAGTTTTGTGCCATCGAGAGCAAAAATGTTATAGAAGTGGAACAAATGGACCCGGGAGCCCTAGAAGTGGTGGAAGAATTCAGCCAAGTCTTTAACCCACCTACCAAACTACCTCCCAAAAGACCCACAGACCATGCCATAATCCTCCAGGAGGGGGCCAAACCCCCTAACATACGTCCCTATAAATATCCTTATGTCCAGAAAAATGAAATCGAGAGATTAGTTGGGGAGATGTTGATCGCAGGATTAATACAGCCCAGTACCAGTCCTTTCTTTAGTCCTATTTTACTAGTGAAGAAGAAAGACGGGAGTTGGCGCTTTTGTGTGGACTACCGCGCCTTGAACAACCTCACGATCCCGGATAAGTTCCCCATTCCCTCAATCGAAGAATTATTGGATGAACTGGC